AAGTGTGCCTTGAGTTTTGGCCCCCTGTGCAATTGAAGTTTGACACCCCTGGTTTACAGCATCCTGCCATGCAATTCATTTGTCCCTAACCTCAGGAACCCTCATGTGAACTTTTATCGAGTGGAAAACAGTTATGCTCATCCTCCAGCTATCACTGTGTTTATATTAATCTAACATAGCTGTGTAGACTAACCACCATCATTATATACCAGCTAGCCCAACTTCAGTAACCCTACAAACGTCACTGCTGTTTAGTTTTCTGTCTTCATTTATGTTGGAAGTGATAGCAGAGCTGTACGTTTTAACTTTTGCTGTGGCGGTTAAGCTGCTGGATTTCAGCCAACGACACGACATACAATCATGTGGTGGCCTCTCTGGATCCACTGTCCACTCGGGTCTGGGTGATGGTACCACTCTCAAGCTCATGGAAAGTACGCTGTACTTGCTAGGAATGGATGATGGCGGATTCCTCTTCACTCACCTCTGCATCTGACAGTTACCGGCACCAGTGCAGCTGGCCTCAACCACTTCCCGCTACTAGCCTCGAACGATTACTATTCACTCGCAAAAGAAGCGGATTGCATTCTCTTGGCTACTGGGAGCTCTGGCATCCAGGCCATAGTTGGGACAGCATCTCCCGCACCCCCACCGATTTTCCCAGGGGCCTCCGACTCATCGATGGTGGCTAGCATCGTGGCACAGCAGAAAAGGGCTGTGGTTTTACCATCAGCATTTTAGTGCCCCAGCACGGTGCTGTCTGCCGCCTTGCAGATTTAAGGCCCAGGGAAACGAGCCTGCCAGCACTCTGTAGCAGCCGCAACCGCTGGTGATAAGGAAAGGCTGCTCTTCACAAAAGACTCACTCAGGGAAACATTTTCTGGTCAATTCATGCTCCCAGAAGAGCCTCAGGATCTCTTGTGTCATCTTTGCATACCTCCACAATGGTAGATTGTTTATCTTAAAAAATAAATGGAGATTTCCTGTGTACCATCAGAGAGAGCCCACTAGTGGTACAGGTACCACAGTTTGAGAAACACTGAGATAGATGATTAATTTGTTCAATACAATTTGTTAACAAGAATGTCTTCTTTGACTTCCCAGGCTCACCTTTAAAGTTTCTATTATATATTATCATTAAACTGACCTGCGTTATTCACATAGTGAAAATCATGTAAGAAGACAGTAAGCACAAAATAATAAATAGAGTTCTGGCCAGAAGTTCACATCCACTAATCATAGGAATGAATATAATGATAATTTGGAACTTTTAATGATTAATTTGACCTTAAAAATATGCAAGAACTTACTGTGGAAGTTGTAATTAATTGAGGATTTTCCAGTTTCAAAAGCATATGTTTGTGGTGCTCTTAGAAAGAGAATTGTAGAATTACAAGCCATTTGTAAATGGACCTTACATGAGTTTCTCAGACCTGTATCTCATCAACATAATCTATACTTGCCAAAATATCAAAATGTTATGGAGAAAACGTGTTTTTTTTGTCTAGAGTTAACATTGTGTGTTAACAAAAAGTTCCAAAAACGCACAATGTATCAAATGCAACAAAAAATTGATATATATTTTTATGATATATTAAATATATCATAAAAGTATATCTTAAACAACATAATGTAGCAAAACAAAATGTGTGGATTTTGTTATAAGGGTTATTAAACATCTCAGTTCCAAAAAAATCTGAATTTTCTGGCCTTTTTTTTGATGGGTTTGGTCTTACAAGCTAAATGCTTTTTTGGAGGAAAGGTTTTATAGTTGAACGATACAAAGCTGGAGCTATTTCACAACAATGACAAGAGATTTTTGAAAAATTAAATCTGAGGTTTCAAATTGAAGAACCGGGTGTCAAGCTGCAATAAAACGGTAGCATCATGGTCTATGGCAGTTTTATTGCCAGTGGTAATGGTAAATTAAAAAAATGGATGGAATTATGACAGAGGAGGACTACCTCCAGATTCTTGAACTTTAATTTGACTCAAATAAAACGTAGAGATAAATGTGGGAGGAGGCCGAAGTGCCCAGAGAGAACCCACACAAACACGGGGTGAACATGCAAACTCCACACAGAAAAATAGCTGCCTCTAGAACAGTGGTTCTTAACCTGGGTTCGATCGAACTCTAGGGGTTCGGTGAGTCGATCTCAGGGGTTCGGCAGAGCCTCCACCGTGACATGCACGGCTCATTTTGTGCACCAATAAAAAACATATCTATGTCTTGAATTTGAAAAAAATCACATTTTATTTTTCACTAAAGAGGGGTTCAGTGAAAGCGCATATGAAACTGGTGGGGTTCGGTACCTCCAACAAGGTTAAGAAACACTGCTCTAGAAGGATAGATATAGATATAAAAACAGCCAAAATAATGCCCCAAAGTGTTCTTGTAACTATGTCCTTTAATAATACTAATTATTACCATAATGATATAAGTGACATGTAGATAAATTATTTTATGCTGACAAAGCAACACAAATCAGAGAAATGTAAAGCAATCCTTACATCAGCAAATGATGAGACGTGAGCTCACACAATCTGTTCTGACCAGTGACATTTTTTTTCTTTTTATAATCAAAAGCACGCTCATGCTAAGATGTAGGAGAATGTGAACTATTTGATCAAAACTGAGATCTCTTATCAAACATGACATCACTAGTTTGCCACACTGTGTGAATGTGTTTTTTTTTTAAATTTCTTTTACAAAGGCTACAACTGAGTCAGACAACTAGACCATTTATAAACAGAAACTGAAAGAATGTTATCTGACATCAGATAATTTTGGATGCCTTGTGTGGATTGTTGTTTAACGGGTAATTGTTTTTGCAGTTTGTAGTTGTAGCACTTTATTGCAGATCAGGAATAATGTGGCAGCCAGTGTTGCTGTCTTTAATCAAACAAAGTAGGAAAGTATTAAAAATAAGTTGTAGTAAAATGTAGTATGTTATTTAATTACTCAACAGAAAAAGTAATTTGTTACACTATTCATTACATTACTTTCTTTTTCCCTCCATTAAATTACCTGTAAATCTTAAGTACAAGTTAACAACATAAACCTGATGCTACAGTCCAACTCATAAACAAAAAAACTGTTTCCTGATGAGGAAACCAGATACTATGACCTAATGGAAAACCCTAAAAACTGTGTTGAACCGTGGCGATAAAATCTGAGTAGAGATTCATGGAAAGGGGGCTATATAATCTTTCCTGTAGTGCTTACATGTGAAAGACAACTCAAAGAAAAGTTGAAAAACAGTTCAAAAAGACCTAATAACAATAGCCAGTTATTATACTTTAGAAACATGAACAGGAAGCTGCTCATCATTTCATTACCAGGAATGGAAGTAACAAGTTCGAAGAATCATTTCCACAATCGTAGGAACACAAAGTCTAACTTGATGGCATTACCTTGCCTCCAGTAACACTGTGAGGAATCTTGGGTATTAATGCATACAGTGGGGCAAAAAAGTATTTAGTCAGCCACCGATTGTGCAAGTTCCCCCACCTAAAATGATGACAGAGGTCAGTAATTTGCACCAGAGGTACACTTCAACTGTGAGAGACAGAATGTGAAAAAAAAATCCATGAATCCACATGGTAGGATTTGTAAAGAATTTATTCGTAAATCAGGGTGGAAAATAAGTATTTGGTCACCTCAAACAAGGAAAATCTCTGGCTCTCACAGACCTGTAACGTCTTCTGTAAGAAGCTTTTCTGTCCCCCACTCGTTACCTGTATGAATGGCACCTGTTTGAACTCATCATCTGTATAAAAGACACCTGTCCACAGCCTCAAACAGTCAGACTCCAAACTCCGCCATGGCCAAGACCAAAGAGCTTTCGAAGGACACCAGGAAAAGTATTGTAGACCTGCACCAGACTGGGAAGAGTGAATCTACAATAGGCAAGCAGCTTGGTGTGAAAAAATCAACTGTGGGAGCAATCATCAGAAAATGGAAGACATACAAGACCACTGATAATCTCCCTCGATCTGGGGCTCCACGCAAGATCTCATCCCGTGGGGTCAAAATGATCATGAGAACGGTGAGCAAAGATCCCAGAACCACACGGGGGGACCTGGTGAATGACCTGCAGAGAGCTGGGACCAAAGTAACAAAGGTCACCATCAGTAACACACTACAACGGACCTATAGTAAACGTTTGACCTCTGTTATTGCCAACAAAGGTTATGTTACAAAGTATTGAGTTGTATTTTTGTTATTGACCAAATACTTATTTTCCACCCTGATTTACGAATAAATTCTTTACAAATCCTACCATGTGAATTCATGGATTTTTTTTTTCACATTCTGTCTCTCACAGTTGAAGTGTACCTCTGGTGCAAATTACTGACCTCTGTCATCATTTTAGGTGGGGGAACTTGCACAATCGGTGGCTGACTAAATACTTTTTTGCCCCACTGTATGTCCTTCAATGTGCATACTAAGCAAAATTCTGGGACTGATTGTTTTAATTTGCACTAAATTAGAAACATCCTGTCTCGGAGTGACACTGACAAACTAGTTCTTTATCATATTATGCCGTTACATATTCCATATGTACGCGGGATGACCTCTTTAAGACACTCCGGCTAGCCCAGCCATGCCTCAAAGCTTACATAGAAAGCAGCTGTGCAAACGTGAAACCGGTGGTCATTTGATCTCCACGGGTTTTGTATGGAGGACCACAAGAGCCACGCACATCGAAATAAAGAAATAAAGACACGTGTGCAGACAGGATTAAATATCGACTTTTGGAAAGAAGGCACATCACAGGAGTCGAGGGAACTCACAGGGATTTATTGTTATGTAATATTCGTTTCACTGTAAATAAATGCACTGCTTTTTTGCACTAAGTCATGCATTTGGGTCCAATTTCCCCACATCCCCATTGTCTGCCACAGAGACCGTGACAGCAATAGTACATTCATGTACAGTGGAACCCCAACTTACGAAATTAATTAGTTCCTGAGAGTCTTTCGTAAGTCGAAAATTTTCGTAAGTCGAATCACCCATTGCACGTTTTGAGTGAGGCGATGCTGAACGATAGGCTATAGGCTAATTGCTAACTAGAACAACAATACATCGTTCAAGTGGAACAGCGAAGTGCAAGTACGGAAGCCAAGGGGTTGTCACATTATTCGGAAGGCATTGTGGGCATCGTAGGCTCAGCCAATCAGAGCCAGCCGATTTCATTACTCAGGCATTTTGCTGTTACACGGGCAGAAATATTGCCGTTCAGTGCCTTTGTAACTTGAATTTTTCGTGAAACAGGGTATTCGTAAGTCAGGGTTCCACTGTAGTTGTAAAAAGCATGACACTATATTAAGTAATTCAAAGTATTCAGAATATGTCAATCACACTGAGTAACTTAACGAAATACGTTACAAAGTACATTTGGGACATGTATTCTGTAATCTGTCGTGGAATACATTTTAAAAGTGATCTCCCAACACTGACAAGAAGGCACAAGTAACTACCACAGGAGATGCTCGGGAAATCACATAGGCAAGAGTGAGAAAACGGGTACAGAACTTGCAGACAGGATAGACTAAACAGAAACATGACTGCAGAAAAAAAATTTAACATTGAGACAAGACTGACTTCAAAGAGGGATAATACAAAAGGAAACTAGACACAAGAGGACAGGGAATGTAACAGAAAACCTAAGGCTAGATAGCAAACTGAGACCTAGGGATGCAAACAGAGCTCAAAACTATAACGACCAAAACTAGGACCTTTGCCTCAAAATATTAAATACACGAAAATCCAAAATCCAAAACCGAAAACACTGCGTACAAAACCCAGACTCATGGCAAATTCGTAATTATCAAGATGTCATACAACTGCCTGAAACACCTTTAGTTGATCCAAAATGCAGCAGCAAGAGCACTGACAGGGGCTAGAAAAAGAGAGCATATTTATCCTATACTGGCTTCTCTCTTTATTGGCTCTCTGTTAAATCCAATTCAAAATCCTGCCCAAAAATAACAACAACAAAACATCCAATTCAATTCAATTTTACTTATATAGTGCCTACTCACAACGACATTTACCTAAAGTAGCTTTATATCCGGTCTTTAAGTCTGATGTCATTAGCCATTCAATTCGTGAACAAATCGTTCAATCCAATCACTTTACTGACTCGTGAATCATGATTCACCAGCGCAAATGACTCACTGACTCATCCCTGTTGCTGTTATCAAACTAATTCCATTAGTAGAAATATATCTAGTTCATAATTAAAATCGTGGGGAAAAAATAACAGCCAGTTTCTTAACAAAAACATTTCTGCTCTGAACTAGAAGAAAAAACCCTGAGTAGAAGCTCACATCAAGACAATAGCTCCTCGGTTCACAGTAGCAGCGCTCTGCTAACAACACATTTGAGTTACTCACCCTCTCCCTTGCTGTGTTGAATCGTAGTGTAAGCGAATCACTCAGGACTCACTCACCCCCTCCTCCTGGCTCACAGCTTCTTCTTCTTCTTGGTTGTCTGTGACGGTTCTCAGTCATCCAGGTCATTGTAGTCTAAGGAGCTTGGAAAGAAAAGCGTCTGGACTTCTTTAAGTTACTTGAAGACGTTTCACCTCTCATCCGAGAAGCTTCTTCAGTTCTAAGGTCAACTGGTGGAGAGTCCCAGATATAAACCTAGTGGGAGTGTCCCCCCACAGAGGGACAAAAGGACCACCTGATGATCCTCTAATCGCCTGAGCCATGGTGTGAAACCCCACTTGGACCTGTCCAAGTGGGGCAGTGTGTGGAGTGTTGGAGCGAGTGCGGCTGAAGAGGAGTGCGTGTGTGCGGAGGAGCGGTGGCGGTGACTGAGTGGAAGAGGAAGCGTGTGTGTGGATTCCCCCCCCCCTTCTCTCCCTGGAGCCCTGGACCCCCTCCCAACTCACTGTACATATATTTTGCACAGCGGTAGAGAGCTTCTCTTTCATGGTCTGACAGCTGGGGAAGTGGCTCATCCCGCATCCTCTCACGTATCCTTGCCACCAATCCACTCCTGTGTCCACACATCGTGGGTGCTCCTTCTGTTGTCAATCCCACGAGTTTTTCCCAAGGCAGTCCCATCTCATTTACACATCTGGGTACCTCTTCATACAGATCTTGTCCTGTAGTCGTGCCATGCATCGGATGTAACGCCAAAAACTCTTCTGTTACGGTCAGGCTGGAGTCCACTCCACGAATGAAAATTGACAACTGGGCAATGTCAGTTGTGTCAGTGCTCTCATCCACAGCAAGGGAATATGCAATGAAATCTTTTCCCTTTTCCACAAGCTGTTCTTTTAGATTGGTGGACAGCTGGTCTACACGTTCAGCAACAGAGTTTCTGCTCAGGCTCACGTTTGAAAATAGTTGCCTTTTGTCTGGGCAGACTGCGTCACAAACTTTAAGCATACAGTTTTTGATAAACTCTCCCTCTCTAAATGGTCGGGCTGATTTTGCAACTTCTTCTGCCACAAGAAAACTCGCCTTGACAGCAGCCTCACTTTGTGATTTTGCTTTTGTGAACAGAGCCTGCCGGGACTTAAGACCTCGTTTTAATTCTTCCACCTTCTGTAGCCTTTGATCTGTGTCCATATTCTTATCTTTGTGTTTCTTAGAGGTTTCATAGTGCTGTCTTAGATTATATTCTTTCATTACAGCCACACTTTCTCCACACAGAAGACAAACAGGTTTGCCTTTTACCTCCATGAACATGTACTCTGCCTCCCACCTGGCTTGAAATACCCTGTGCTCACCGTACACCTTCCGTTTAGCCATTATTGGGGAGGGGAGTTGCTGCAAGTTGACATCTGCTCTGAATGCTAATGAATAATGAATGAATAATGAAGCCGAGCCCCGCTTCTGGCACTGCAGTGAGTTCGCGGGCTTCCGTTGTATTGTGGGGAATGGAGTATTGGTGCGTGCAAAACCCCAGCAGGCGGCTATGACCTGCGGGCCGATTCTAATACTAATCAAATATCATCCCAGGGGCCATAATAATTGCCAAATCTGGCCCACAGGCCTTGACTTTGACACATATGCTGTAAACGGACCAAACGTCAGTCAGGACAACAACTGAGATAATCCATCCACAATAGGAGGTTAGTCATTAATATACTGCTGCATGGGCTGGGCTGTAGTTACATCGTAAGGCTTTAAAAACGGAGCTTTAAAATGATTAGTAGTAGTAAAAACCGAGAGAAGCCAACATTGATCACTGACTGTTTTTAGGAACTTGTTGAGATTAAATAAAACAAGATACAGAGCATTAAAACACATTAAAAACACAACAGCCATATTAAATGCAGTGTACTTTGGCCTGGCTGCAGGATTCATCACGTCATCACTTAAAGACCGGATTGTAAGGCATAGACCCTACAATCATACAGACAGCCCCAACAATCAGACGGCCTCCTGTGAGCAAGAATTTTGGCTACTGGGGAAGGAAAAACACCCTTTTAACAGGAAGAAACCTTTGGCAGCTTCAGGCTCAGGGAGGGGCAGCAATCTGCCGCAACTGTTTAGAGTTGAGGGAAGGGAGACAGAACAAAGACATACTGTGGAAAAGAGACAGAGATTAATAATAACAAATAATTAAATGCAGAGTTGCACATAAAAACATATGTTAAGAAACAAAAAAGTGAGGGTAAAAGGCAACTGATGAAGAACTACAACTTCTGAAGTCCCCAGCAGCCTAGACCTATCGCAACGTAGGTAAGGCTGGATTCAGGGTCACCTGATCCAGCCCTAGTGTAACTGTATGTTTTATCGAAAAGGAAAGTTTTAAGCATAATTTTAAAAGAAGAGGGGCCTGAAAGCTGAAGGCTCTGTTTGCCATTGTTTTTTCTTTTCTTCTTTTCACATCCTGTCCTGTCTTTTGCAATCAGAATTATGATCTGAATGCACTGTTATCAACATGTTTTGCTTTTCCAAGAACAGCTCTATAAATTCTCTGTAGGCACCTCATGTTCATGCATTTATTTTGTGGTTTATGTAATTATTTTTATTAGTATTATTTCTGTTATTATATATAATATAATATGGTATAGTATTACAATATCTAAGTCGATGCTTAAAGAAAGAAAAACAAGAGTGAGCTAGTGAGTGACTGTGTATGTGTCTTTATTATAGTTATTGAACATGTATTAAAATTACTAGAAAAAAATTAATGAACAGAATGAGAAGTGGGTTATTAGATAACATTTGCAATCCAGCAAATACATATTTTACTTATTCAATTTGATTATTCAATGTAATATATCGTGAAGAAAACCTTGGAAAAAAGTTATCTACAGAAATATTTATGCAGAAAAAAACAACTGAATTTCCTGATCAAGGAAATTCATGATGTTACAGTACACTACAGCTTCACCAATCTGCGCCTCCCTGCTTCAGAGGGCTACAGTAATATCTCCTGATATCGCCTAAGTCTGGTATATTTTTAATTTAGAAAGGAAAAAGGAACAATAAGATGCAGGAATTTAGAAGCAATGTGTTGTAGAAATCATCCTTACATTAGAGAAGATCCACTGGTTCTCAATGTTATTATTGTGTGTCTTATGTGTAGTTTAAAGGTTGAATGAGGAGACTCAGATATAGGCAATTTTGTTGAATAAACTGTGTGACAGCATATTTTACAAATTATTTGCATTTTATGCATTTTAAACCTCCCCGGTGGTTTACATGCTTTGCAAGGCCTAACTGTGCCTACAGCTGTTATCAGTTTTCTCTGTAGAGCTAATGTTTGTACAATTCCAATTATATTTATAAGGTTGGAAATTACTGATGGTAGAAGTAATATACCTATTGTAAATATCAAGTACTAAGGCATTTCTTGATGCATATACATTTGAAGTTTGCATTAATGGAGCAATGCTCTATCTGTAGCTAGAGAAACACATAAAATTCAACAAGACAAGACATGGGTTACTATATGAGACATCAAAGTTCCATCTTCCCATCTTTTTGCACACTAATTGGCTGTTTTCAATCCAGCTGCTATTTTTGGTAGAAGTCCCATTGTGCCTGATTGTCCTAACAACAGCTCTCCTCCTGTGTGTAAAAATGATCAAATATAGGAACGTTGAAAAAATTATGGGAGGGTAAATCTGCTGCATGGTCCAGGTAGTTAGAATCTTTGGTTTAAAAAACAATCTTTCAGTTTGGCAGTCTTGTACACACCGTAGTTCACATCTTTCTCTTGTTTTGGTAAATCTCGGGTGTATGATAGCAGCAATATTAATGAGACTGGGACGGCTCTGTCTTAACGTGGTGACTCTGTTTATTCCCAAGCTGCAACAACAAACACACACAGCGCAACCACCAGAGGGTGCTGCATGACCCATTGAATTTTTTCTCTCATACGCCTCATGATTCTATAGTACAGGGTGGGCCATTTATATGGATACACCGTAATAACATGGGAATGGTTGGTGATATTAAAGTCCTGTTTGTGGCACATTAGTATATGTGAGGGGGCAAACTCCTCAAGATGGGTGGTGACCATGGTGGCCATTTAGAAGTCGGCCATCTTGGATACAACTTTTGTTTCTTCAATAGGAAGAGGGCCATGTGACACATCAAACTTATTGGTAATGGCACAAGAAAAACAATGGTGTGCTTGGTTTCAACGTAACTTTATTCTTTCTTGAGTTATTTACAAGTTTCTCTTTGTTCACAGTCATTGACATGTCAGAGGTTAACTACAGTTACATGATGATGTGTTTCCCTCTTTATGCACTGAAGCTGGCACGTTCCCTGAGTTTTTCCAGCAAGATGGTGCACCACCACATTATGGGCGCCAGGTCCGAGCATTCCTAGATGAGCAGTTTCTGACCCCCTTAGACTTTTATCTTTGGGGTCATCTGAAGGATATTGTCTAGGGTACGAGATCTGCAGCACCTCAAACTACGGATACTGGATGCCTGTGCTGGCATTTCTCCTGCAGTGTTGCTATCAGTGTGTGAAGAGTGGGAGAAGAGGGTTGCATTGACAATCCAACACAATGGGCAGCACATTGAACACATTTTATAAGTGGTCAGAAACTTGTAAATAACGTACAACTTTTTAAACAGATTTTCGCTATCAGAGCTCTGTTGAGCCAACCAAGGCTTGTTCCTACTTTCTTCTAACAGTGATGAGCAGTAAGATTTTCTAGCTTTAGGGAAGATCTTTTTTTTTTCTTTTTTACAGAGTAACACGTGTTAACACATGGCATTGAAGAAGGTAACAAAGGAGGAAGCGCTTGTTTAAATTTTGTTACAGTATTTTGTGAGATTATTATACTATCTTATGCCACCTTAGACTTCTAATTTAAGAATTGTTGAATCATTATACGGCTATAGGCCACATTATACCTTGGATTAAAGATTGTGAAATCATTACACTGTTTTATGATGCATTATACTGCTGAATTATAAGAAATGCTGTTTTCAGAGGATCATGGCCTTAATTGTCTGATTAGAAAGAACAGAACATACTGCACAGGAAGCCAATGTCATAACTTAGGCTCACTGAGAGAGAAAGAATGTGGAAGTTTAGGTTTTATGACTTTGGAGGGGGGCTGAAGCTATAAGAACGTGAGAAATGGTCAGACATTCGAGATCTGGCAGATACCCTGCTGTCCACATCTCCCCTCCAGCCGTTTATGCTCAAAGTGTTGTATGGAATAAAGAGAATTGAATGGAATAAAGAGATTGTTGATTGAGCACTTATACACCAAGTGTTGTTCTTCCTTCAGCCCAAAGATCAAAGAATTGGGATATTTAACAGTTTTCAGAAAGTGAGGTTGTCATTATCAGCATCAATTAATGTTAAAATCTTCCACTATAATTATTTTATCTGAGCTGTTCTTCGTGTTTTCCAGTTGTGGATAATCAGTGTATCAGTTCTAGACTAAGGATAGTCACACCAAAAATAATATTTAATCTAACAATTTCTAAGCACAAATTAATTCATTTTAGATTATAGAACTGGAGAGTCAGGCTAACGTGTTGCTTTTAAAAGCTGCTCTTGAGAAGTGAACTTAATTATTAAAAATGTGTGTTAAATAACAGTGAAGCCAAAACTTCATTCAGCAGATGAAATGAAAAAGCTCTTGAAGCTGTCAACAGATGTTCATGTTGTGCCAGTAGAGGGCGCTGTAGTTCCACCAATCTGTGGTTTGCTGCTTATGAGTTGGATGATCATGTGTTGGGGCAGCCCTATGGATATAAGAAAATTTTTGATCTACAGAGAGAAAAAAAGAAGAGCGAGAGATATGATCACTGATTTATTTTATAAATGTAAGAAAGAAGTAGCAAAGGTTTTACAAAACTCTGCTCACAGAAACTATTTTTATGTTGAAATATGTACTTTTGTGGTTGTGCATGTCTATCATGTGTGAACACTGTGGAGTAAATTAGGATGATTATTCAGTTCATAGTATGGCCCCATGCAGTCATTTCTCAGAGTGGGATATTAGACATGCTCACCCAAAGGAATCGCTGTCCAATGAAAAGGCATATTCTTTAAATTATGATAGCAGTTTTGTATGCAACAGTTTTGCAGAGGAATTTGGTTGCAAATTTTTGTTTACTTGCATCCTAGCTTATTGTGGAAATTTTTGAAGTCGGGTATTCCACACACACACACACAGACACACAGACACACACACACACACACACACACACACTAAAATGAGACGCCACTGCTGCAACAAGTCAAACAATTTCATCCCTCCTACATATTCCATGATCAACTGTAAGTGGTATCATTACAGAGTGGAAGTTGTTAAAAATCACAGCAACTCAGTCACAAAGTGTCAGACCACATAACGTTACAGATGAGGGTTGCCAGATTCTGGGGCACATCAGCAGAAAAACTGTGCACCTGGAGCTTCATGTTATGAAGTTGTCATTTCATGGTTTTTTGAGAGATCGGCTCCTGTAGTTTTAACGTGTTAGTGGCCCGGTATTTTTACCATTTAGTGTAATAAGGAGCCTGCCCTCATTCCCTTTATCCTTATGAGTCAGTGGGGATAATGGGTGCATTCCCTGTAATTTGTTGTCGATAAACTTTTTATGGTGCAATTGTTTGACGCTCTGATAGAATTTCTGAATAAATAAAAATATACTTACCTGTGTAAGGAAGGTATCTCTATCAATTTTAGACAAGTCCACCAAAGAGGTCATCTTCATTTGCAAAACTGCAACATCTAAACAGAAGAATGCAACATGTTAGAATTCAATTGAAATCACTTTGCGCTAAAGTTACTGCAAGTAGTTGCATTTATCAACGTTTCAAAGCAACCTCAATTCTGTTGATATTTTTTTAATTCAGACCAAATATTTTTTTCCTATTTTGTGTTAGTAATGAGAGATTGTGTCTTCCATGTTGTCCTCCATGACACATTAAACACAAATGGCTTAATAACTCCAGAATGTGACAATGTAAAATCAATCCGTGTATCTTTGGGTACACACTTTAAAGACTTTTATATCAAACAAATTTGTTTTGTGTTTGTTGTTGAACGAGCCTGTGTTCATCCACCAAGGCTTAGTTGGCTTTACCTAGTAATCGATTTCATTCCTGCTGGCATTTTGATTGTGATTGTATATTTCTTACTTTGCTGATCTTAAGTTTATTCACTAATTGACACTGTTGATTTCAAAGACAATCATTGTGTTTTTCTGGCCAGCTCATGCTTTTATTTTGGAGTTTGGATTTTGTATGCAGTTAGTCAATGCTACAAAATTCACTCAGCATACCTCAAAAGTATTTTGCTGGATTTACAAATTGTGACATGAGGGTATTATGTAGTGATATAAAACTGACGTGAATTTTACTGTTTTGGTGTGACCAGCAATCAATAGACATGAATTAAGGTGAGATTAATAATTGTTACACTGAGAAAGAGTAACTATATAAACATCACCTCATTTTATTCATACTCACAAGATGGTTCACTGGGTGTAGTTGATGTAGGAAGAGTTGTGCTTGGAGTATTAGTAGTAGTTGTTGCAGGTACAATAGTTGGAGTACCGGTAGTAGTTGTTGCAGGTACAATAGTTGGAGTACTGGTAGTAGTTGTTGCAGGGAAAATAGTAGGAGTACTGGTAGTAGTTGTTGCAGGTTCAGTAGTTGGAGTATTGGTAGTAGTTGTTGCAGGTTCAGTAGCTGGATTACTGGTAGTAGTTGTTGCAGGTTCAGTAGTTGGAGTATCGGTAGTAGTTGTTGCAGGTACAATAGTTGGAGTATCGATAGTAGTTGTTGCAGGTTCAGTAGTTGGAATATCGGTAGTAGTTGTTGAAGGTTCTGTAGTTGGAGTATCGGTAGTAGTTGTTGAAGGTTCAGTAGTTGGAGTATCGGTAGTAGTTGGAGTATCGGTAGTAGTTCTTGCAGGTTCAGTAGTTGGAGTATCGGCAGTAGTTGGAGTATCGATAGTAGTTGTTGCAGGTTCAGTAGTTGGAGTATCGGTAGTAGTTGTTGCAGGTTCAGTAGTTGGAGTATCGGTAGTAGTTGTTGCAGGTTCAGTAG